GCTCCAACCTCGTTCTGGGAACGACGTTGGCATGTGCCCCTGAACATTCAAGAGTGCGGGATATGCATGGTCTTCAGGGTCTTGAGTCGTAACCCTATTTAGACCGGGGGGGCTTTGTAGACGGGTCGTAACTGTTCATTTACTGGTTTCGGCTCTGGCATTAAATCCTAGACCAGCTGTATTTATTAAACCTCTACTTATTTTTACCTATTAATTTCCATGTTGTTATTAGTTTCTTTTTTTTTTTTTAAAAAGTAACTCTATAAGCGAAATGAAATGAATCACGATGATAAAAACAACAACAACAACAATGATCGTTAAATATCGTCAAATATCAACGCTTGTTAAAAACCTCCTAAAAGGTATGACAAGCACCACTATCATTTTTTACCCAGACTTTGAGCTACTTTGATGATCGAGCAAGTCGAACGAAACAGCACTGCGTTTACCTGATAATTAATATTTGATTCTTTTGAAATAAGTCATTATATACGTGAAACAATAAATTTTGTTACAAAGGAAAACAAAAACTTGTCAGAAATCCCGTTTCATAGCCTTTCACAGCTACTAGACCAAAAGGGGCAAACTGGCATTGCTGCTGACAGAAAACTTAATCGCGTGAATTGTGAATAGCCGGAAATTTAGCATTCATGGGAAATCCTCTCTGCAGTGTCAAAATAAATACTACTTGAGGCGGAAGTCAGTGAAGCTCATAACGTAACCATTCATCCATTCCGAAACTCGAACTCATCATTCACTGATCATTAACCTGAATGCAGGTGTTAAATCCACTCAGACACCATTGTTGTCTCTGTCCACTTAATTTTCAGTAAGGTGCTTTTCAGGTGAGGAAGCGAGCCAGCTATGCAGTAAAATACTATTGCAGGTTTAACTTAAAGAATCAAAGGGTCGGTTACTTAAACGAAGTCTAACTTTAAAACTGGCCCAAAGACTTGCTATGAGATAATGGTGGCCTACGAAAACTATTTAAATACCCTCCACTAACTGTATTTGTAATATCGGTTATACTCTCGGTAATCAGCTTGCTCCAAAATGGATGGAAAAATATAATATAAGCTCCCACTCCTCCCTCCCTCAAAACGAGCATATTGATGACCAAATTGCGGTTTTACTAGTCCGGAAACACCATATCTTCTAAAACACTTTCCATTAAAGATGATTTTTAAAACTTCAATGCAACAGGAAATCTACTCATTTTGTTGCCCGTAATCATGTTATCTTCTCAGCTGATGAAACGGAGTTGGCGAAGATAATCCCATTCATCCCCCAGAGTCACGTATCTGAGGCACGCAAATTGTTCATATAAACTTTGGAACGTGTGGACCAAATGTTTTTTTTGCCTATTTAAAAGAACCTCATTACTAGGTTTCCTTTGCTTGGCAATATCTAAGGCACCAAATATGTCGCGAAATTTGGGAGGATAAAGATGTTCTGGATACAATAGATAGCGATAAGGGTGGATTAGGTTAAGTAACCACTTAGATATGTAATGAATGGTGGTGAGATCTGATTGGGATAAGGAAATATTAATTGGCACCTATTCAAATACATTTCTTGATAAGTTACAAAGTCTGTTGATCGAACCGTCAGTCGCCGAACTCTGCAGACCAAATCGTTCACAGCTAGTTTGTAGCCCGACAATTGTTCGGCACCAAATAACTTCATTGAGTCGTGGAACTGCTCAAAACATGGCGCTGTTTTCATTCATTCTTGTTGGCATGATGTCGATGTACCTGGTGGAGTCAGGCAGGTCACGTCTAGAAAGTCGTCAGAGGCCTCACTTCATTATTGAAAGGTACGATTTGACACTCAACATTTGTTTTGTTCGGTTTGTATGTTCAGGAGATTAAAGAGACAACAACCGATATGGAACATTAGGCAATCCCTTTGCCATAATTTGTAATCACGCGCTGTTTTTTTTTTTTTTTTTTTTTTTATGTCAAAAATCTCTCTTATGAAATCCACCATTTGTAGCCCTTACCAAAGAAACCTGCAATGCTTGATTTTGTTCCTTTCAGCGTTTCCTGTTGTACCACTATAGGCTCCCAAGGGCCTTAAGCTAGGTCTATAGGTCTTCCAAATCAGCCGGATTTCCCAACTCTACAGTGTATATCAGAGAATTAATGGGGCTAATGAAGCCCACGGGCTCTACACTGTATTTCTACGCGAGCGTGTTTTAGAAACTGTTGGTGCTACTCGTTTCAGCAGACGAAATCTTTGTTCAAGGCTACTAATTCAATTGCAAGGACTCAACCCCTCCCTTTTCAATTAAGTTTTGGTGGAAGAACAATTGATGAACGTGAGTCAACAGTATTGTGTATATCCTCGTGTTTTTATCGATATTCTTAACATTTCTGGTTACAGATACAACAAGACTATGGGAAGCAACGAAGAAACGTCTCGGGTAAATACGCCTTTAATTAGCCGATAACCTTTCAGAATAGAGAGGGAATGGAAGGGGTGTTACGAAGAGCCACACCCAATATTATTTGGTTGATCCTTCATGGGCTACACCAATTTCTAGAATCGCCGGATTTTATTTTTTGAAAGTCTTAAAAGATAACCGTACACAGGAACCAGAGAGAGAGAGTTAAAAGTAAACGGTGAAGGCGATGACCACAAGCCTGATCATAAAAAAAGAGGCACGAAAAATGTCCTCGTTTGTAACAGGGTCTAAATCAGTCTAACTTGGTCAACAAAATTGGATCAAATGATTGTACGCGGATCTGTGAATCACTGTTTCTCAAGAAAACTAACAAATACGATATAAATTTACCAAACCATTCGTTATAATTTTACATGATTTTTTGGTGCAATTGTTACTTATAAAATAAAGGACTCTATATTACTAAAAGAATGATAATACTCTATAAAAGGTGAAAAATGTTCTATGTTAAGTAAATAGATAAAGTGATTAAAAAATATGTTGGGGAAATTTCAAAATGGCGTCCAAAGTGGTTTCAGCAGTGACCCATCCCATAATTTTAATTTTAACATTTTAAAATGTTGTAGACTGAGTAAAAACCGGAGTAGTCCCCCCCCCCCCCCCCCCCCCCCCCCCCCCCCCCCCCCCCCCTCCCTTTTCTCCTATCACTTTTCATTTTCTGCTTCATGTTTCTCCCAATTTTTTTTTTTTTTTATTTTTTTTTGTTTTTTTTTTTCTACATCTTTGTCTTTTCCCTCTTGATCTATCATTTTTATTTTTCTTTTTTTTTTTTTTTTTTTTTT